CGTGAGTGTGATCACTTATAAATTAAGTAGTGCCAGAGATGGTGAGTGATCATCTGCATCGTGAATGATTTGAAAGGCTTTGCTTCCAGGTGCTCCTCACAGCAAAGTGTTCCTTCTAGCTGGGGGATTAATTTAGAAATTAAAGTGGTTGTAATACAAGGAGTAGGGATGTAAATGAGCCCAGCTCTCCTGGGAGCTCGCTCACTTCTCAGCCGAGCTGCTTTGTGTCTGGCTCTTGTATTAGCACATCGTGTCTCATTTAATAGCTCAGCTCTTCAGGGACTCACAAACTGGTAAACAACACTGCCAGCCTCTCACCTCATCCTTCTTCACTATCAGCAAAGTAGATCACGTTCGAATAGTACCTTGTAGAAATTTAAATGGAATAGGCTGGAGTCTCAAGAGCTTATTTGAACTTCCTCTGTTTAATTATTGTAGCTCTTGCAGCTGTACTTATGGCTTTGTGAGGCTCAGAACATCGTGTTTAAGGATGTGATTTATTATTATAATCTGCTGCATTGGATTCAGAGCACTGGGAAGTGTTTGTGCTCCGCAGAGACAAATGTTCTGTTTGCAGTTACCTGTGACAGAATGTACCTACCAAAACTCTGGTGGCAGCATCTCATCCAGTTGATTTTGTTTGCAAGGATGAATTGTCTCTACTAAGAATTCACTAACAAGATGCTGTGGCTGATTTAAAAGCAGTGGGAAAGGAGATTTGTATTTTGAAGAGCTTGGCAATTAGATGAAAGCTAAGTTTAGTCTTGTTCTTTAGGGTTTCAGTGTTACTCTTAAGAAGAATATTTTTCCAACCTGGATTTCTGGTTTTATTCATGCAGTAGTGCAGAGATCTGGTACTTGAGACGGAAGGAAGGAAGTCTGTCATGCTGGAGCATTATAGAACTGAGTTGTTGATCATAAAGTCTGTTTTGTTGCTTATTAATCCAGCATCTGTTCTGTCTTTCAAAGAATTCTTGTGCTGTGGGTAGAACAGAATCAGCTGAGCCTCTGGAACATTCCTCCTGCCTTTTCTTGGAAAAGCCTTTCTGCTTTTGTCACAGGAAAAACTAAATGCTTTTGAATAAAGGCCACTTTAAAACTGATGTCAATACAGAGCCTGTTAGGAATTTTGCAAAGCAGGTTATTTGGTCTTGGTTAACATTTGTTTTTAAACTTTGTAAAGCTCCTCTATTGACAATGGAGTTAAATTACATTATTTACTAGAGCAGGAGGTCACTTTATGGCAAGTTTGTTGACAGTTCTGTATTACAGTAAAACATGTTTTATTAAAGAGCCATCTAATAAACTACTGACAGCAGGATAATAATTTAAAGGCTTTTGCTGTGTAAGATTTGGTCACTTGGGTTAGTTGGGTGTGCTTTAGAGGGCAGTAATGGCATAAATAAATCAACAGTGTTCTGTCCCACCTGTGCCCAGGTGAGGGAGATGGCTGCCACCACGCTCAGCGGGCTCCTGCAGTGCAACTTCCTCACCATGGACGGGCCCATGCAGACCCACTTCGAGCAGCTCTGCAAAATGAGGCTCCCCAAGAAAAGGAAGAGGGACCTGGCCTCAGTGGGGGACACAATTCCTTCAGGGGGTAAGAAAGCAGCTCAGGAAGAAATCAGTCTTTTGGGTAACAAAGGCTGACATAGAATTTAATTTGCAACATAAATGGTAAGAATACACAGCAAAGACAAATATTTTTATTATGTATTCCTGTGTTAAATTAATTTCTTACTCTTTTAGAATTAACATTAAAGAGGTTTTTCCAGTTTCCAGTTCACAGAACTAAGGATGCAGATGATGAGGGATAGCAAGTTCCTAAATAAATAAAGTTCCTTGGCTGTCACAAACCACTCTTTTCCCACCTTACCTTTCATTTGTTAGCAGTGTGGGTTTTTTATTCTAAAAAAAACCCAAAAACAACAAACACAATCAACCAAAAAATCAACCAGAACATAAAGAAACCTTAATTAACTTAATTCCCTGACTTGGAACTTTGGCTTCTGCCTAGGCATTTAATACTTCTGAGTCACACTCATTTGACCCAGAAGTTTGGCTTTCCATATTGTCCAGTAGTTCTGGGATTTGAGAAAACACTCTGAATGCAGAAAGAGGGAACATGGATATATTATTCAGGAGTTTCTTTGAGAGAGGGAAGCTCATTTGAAATGTTTACAAAGTGTCCAGCAGTTGCAGATTGATTCCTACTGGAAGAAGGTGCAGAAAACTAAAGACAAGGGAATGAATCTGGGATTCCGAGTAAGGAAGCAGAGCCAATCTGGCAGTCCATAAGTTCATGTCTGTCGAACTCTCTGGATTTCTACAGAGCTGGAGGTCTCTGCAGTGCCAGGGAGTTTGTTTTTAACTAAGGAGGGTTGATGGCTTGTTTTTGCAGACCTGGTGAAGCGCCACGCCGGCGTGCTGGGGCTCAGCGCCTGCATCCTGTCCAGTCCCTACGATGTGCCCACCTGGATGCCACAGCTCCTCATGGATCTCAGTGCCCACCTCAATGATCCCCAGCCTATTGAGGTAAAAATACAGCAGTTCTCCATTCAGCAGAACACAGCTGAATACCTGTGACTCATGCTTACTTCTCTTTTCCTAGAAAAGCATAGGAACCTATTAAGGAATTTAATTTCTGCTGCTTTTTACTAAATTACTCTGAATAGCTTTAAAGCATAACCTGCTTTTAAGTATTTTTTGTGGTAGAGCTGTCTTTGCTTTCAAATTTAAAGCATTAAATTGAAAGCTGCAAGAACTGTATTTATAATGAGGAAGTGGGGTTTTTTTCATTAAAAATGTCCCTTTTGTGCATGCCATTCTAGGAAACATCAATCTGAACCAAAACATCAGTTCTGGAATTTTTAAAATGAAGTGTTACGAGCTGCCATAGAAATAAGCTTTTAAAGAAATAGTTACTTTTAACCCTTATTGTTTTCCCTTGTCTGTTGGGTGTCGTTGACTGTGGCTGTTTTAGCCAGAAGAATGAGATGAAGAATTCCTTTGATGTTTTCAGACCTAAAACACCCTTTTGAAACAGCCAGGGAAAAGGCAGTGGGGAAAAGCACTTGGCTTTTATTTTATAAGAATCTCTAAATGTTTCCCAGCTCAAAATTGTAGGTCCAGGAATCCTTTTTATAAGAATATTTGAGTCATGACCCTTGTCAAAAGACTAACCAGAACTGTGAAAATTAAAATCCTGGGCTGAATTCCCCAGAGCCCTCCTATCCCCTGGGTGTGTCCCAACCTTGGGTGGTACTGAGCAGTTATGTTTGTTGTGTCCAACGTTGGTTTTGGTGTGGAGCTGGGGTCCCTGACTGACAGAGCTCCATCCCAATTGTGCTGGCAGATGACTGTGAAGAAAACGCTGTCCAATTTCCGGAGGACCCACCATGACAACTGGCAGGAGCACAAGCAGCAGTTCACAGATGACCAGCTCCTGGTGCTCACTGACCTCCTGGTTTCACCCTGTTATTATGCATAGGTGGGTCAGCTGATGGGTTTTGCCATAAGGTTCACTCTTAGGGATTCTACTCTAGAGTCAGGAAGAATCCTTTATTAACCACAGGGGAAATGCTGCAGCCAAATGTCTGACCCTTGCCTCCTCCAGTGGTTTTATTTTGATTAAATATTTTAAATATTGTCCCTCTTTCTGTGCATCCACATGCTTTACTAAGACATTTACACCTCTTTTCTTGAATATTGATGTTCCTTTTCTTCATTTTCTGCCAGTTGGCTGCCTTTTAAATGCCTGGCAGTGCCCCTAAAGTGCTGCTTTGTACTTCTGCTGCCTCTCAGGACTCTCTCAGCCCAGTCCAGGCTGTGACCTGCATCTCAGGATGGGGAATGGCTGCTACCACCCGGTTTCCTCTTCCAAACTCTGGCTTTGCTGCCGGGGCTCTTCACACAGGCATGTCCCCAAAGAGTGAATCCATTCCTGGGGTTTCTCTTTGTTACACCACGAGATTCCCATCTCTATTGTATTGTGATGTTTCGTAACAGTATTCCAAGAGAAGCTTTAATTCATCTTTTCATACAAACAAGAGCATGGGGTGATATTTGTGTTTTGAACTCTTTCTTCTTTCTTTTCAGGTTTCTCCCGGGGAAAATGAGGATGTAGGAATTTTTCTGCGAAATAAAGGAAACTCGAAAGAAATTGATCATGTAGAGAACTTTGTGCTGGAAATCCTGATGCCTAATCAAAACCACTTTTAAATACAAACCTAGAGACCTGGTTCTATTCAAAAGAATTTCACCTCCCCAGGGAGCAGCTGGGGGAGTCCCGAGGCTGCGCCTGCAGGGCCTGATCGTGAGTCCATGGCAAGACCCTTCTCCTTGGCCTGCATCCCACATCAGTCTTGTTTCTGCTTTCTTGCACACAGTGACCGACACTGCACATCCCTCACCCCCTTCTTCTGCCCCCTGTTCCCACCATTAAGGATATGCAGAACCAGAGAGTGCCGCAAACCGGAATTTTCTCAGTGGAGCTCTCCAATTCTGCCGATGCAGCTCCTCCCCCAGTCCCTACACAACCCCGGGAGCCTTCCTTCCTTCCTCAGAGTTTTATTTTTCACTACTGGGATTTGAGTACCATCCAGTCCACCTCAGGGCAGCATTGCCTTTTTGTATTCTCTCCCTTGTGCAAATGTAAATAGCTGAGCTCTGTGCAGTGCAGGGGTGGCAGCATGGGCAGCTCCTGCTGCCTGGCCAGGGCTTTGGGGTGTCTTCACCACATGTGGAATAAAAAAATAAATCTATGATTCTCTGCATATTTTTAAGGAGGAAATGGGTGTTTCCATGTAATTAGAATGCACAGATAGGAAATGATGGACTGTTAGTGGTGGTTGAATTCACGGAATGAAATGTATGCACAGTGTGGAAAGGCAGTTTGTAACAGTGTATTCTCCTAAAGATTGAGCAAGCATATCTCGTTTGAAGATTGTGGAAGCTCTGTGTTTTTTTTGCCTGCAGCTTTGTTAAGAGACTGGTATCAATTGGCTGTTTAACAAGCTGTTTAATATGTGTTACATAGTTGTAAAAGACTGTATAAATTGTAGAGGCATTGCATTGACAAAACATTGTACAGTTTGCAACCTTTTACATAACACCATTGTGAGATTAATTTGTAAAGATTCATACTTAGATGTTAATACAGTAGTGGTTCTGGCTTTTGTATCAAAACAAATGCCATTCTTAGTTTTTTAAATTATTTTCTTTAACAGAATATCTCTTTGTGTCTGAGAGGGTTTGTTTTGCTTTTCCTGTATCTCATGACTGCGTCTCATTCAGATTTTACTGCAACACGTGTGGCCATTTCTCCATGCTGACATCACATATTCTGGTGTGATCCATTCAGAGAACGTGAGGTACATGGAAATAACTCATAAACTGCTGTGTGTTTCATCTTTCATGCAAAACCCCCCAGGAGCACTGAGACCTTTGTGTGGCTCATCCCAAACTTCCAAGCACAGCAGTGCTCCTGGGGCAGTATTTAAGGAGTGTCAGCACATGGATGTAACCACTGTATAGCGTAGTGCCAAAATTATGATTTCAATTGTGTACGTAGTTTAAGACCCAATAAATGGACTGTTTGTAACTACTGCATCTTCCTGTATTTCTAAAAAGGAAATGTGTTGGTTTGAGACCGTAACTTCAGGTTTTTACAGTGATTTTGAGCTTTTGGATGAGGCCTGTGTTTGTCCTGGGATTTGGTAATGAGTTAAGGCAACATTAAGGATTAATTAAAGATCCTGTTCTAATGTCTAGGAAATCAGCTTTTACATTTATGGAGAAATAGCTTGTGCCAGGAAAACACTTGTTAACTTCTGAGAACTGGAGAAACTTGTTTTTGTTGGTGAGGGTTTTGCTGATAGAATTAAATCTTCACAAGTGACGGAAAGCCTTTACTGCAGAGGATCATCTCTAAAGGATCCTTGGCTGATGAAGTGTTGGAGCAGATATTGCATGTGCTGTTCTGCAGCTCTGCTGCTTTGTGCTGTACTTGGGAATCTCTTTCCTTAGTCAGGGTGTAGCTGGAATTGGCTAAGGATTCAGTGCACTGTAGGGAACCAAGCTCTGGTCAGGAGTGGTATTAATTCCCAACACCTTATAAACCCACAGTAAATTGCTTTATCCAAACTGATCCCCCAGTAAATACAGCACAGAATTCAAAATACATTTCTATAGGATAAAAGACACCTGTGAGTTCAGTGCTGGTTGAGTTTTGGTGAAGGAAGGGTTGTTAGTCTCTTGTCCTGAAAATGCAGGAACAATTTTTTACCACCAGATACCTCAACTCCATTACTGGATTTATCCTCTAACTTTCCCCAAGCAACACCCACATCCTGAATTCTGAACCTCCATCATTGATGTCTTATACTGTCTCTTCCCTGAAGCTTTCAAGATAAACCAACTGCAGTACCTCAGTCTGGAGAGGGAGAGATTTCTAGCATGAGAAGAGAGAATTTTTCCCCTTGGAACAGGAAAGGAAATGGAAAAATATCTTGAGGATAGTTTGATAGCCTCAACATCCTTAGTGACCACCTGTCAGACTGCACAGACAACCTGTGACCATCATGGGGAAGCACCAAAGGAAGGCAGAAATGTAAGGCAAAATTTGGGATGTTTGGGAAGTTATTTTGGTTTGTTGAGGTCGGGCTTTTTTTGTTGGGTTTTTTTGGGGGTTTGATTTGGGTTTTAAGCACTCAAGTTGCCAGTTACACTGCTCAGTGACTCTTGCTAGACCATTAAGTGGTGTGATCTCCCACATTTCCATCATCAGGTGGGTATATTTGATGTTTATCTTGACATGTAAGAAAATTACCAAGCAGTCAAATTAGACTTTTACCCTGTGCTTTTGTAGTGTGCCACAGTCTCAGCATTGGTGGATTGTGCTGCTAATAAGTTTGTTAGTTTTGGGGTTTTAATTACAGAGGCAAAGAGATGAAGTTCCTTATTTCTGGTATATTAGGACTGTATTCCTGTTATGTCCAGGTATCTCCCTTTCCCCCTTCTTACTTCTTTCCCAGGCTGCTGGGACTGCTGTGCTGGGTACACTGGATGATGTGATGATGTCTCCTGTCAGTTTTTCACAGTTAGGCATCCCCAGCATCCCACACCCTGCTCAGTCTCACACTTCCTTCCACAGCTTCAGGCTTCCTGGAATCCTGAAACACAGCCTCCAGCTCCCTTTTCCCCAGCACTCTGGAAAACACAATAATCTGGTAAAATGCAAGGGGGAAAATAAAGCCCAGTGGCAGCAGAAGGGTTTGCTGTCCACTCACCTGGGAAGATTTTAACTCTAACTCTGCTGTGAGTTACAAGCTGATGTGTTTTGTATCCTCATAGCATCCTGCAGTACCTGGAAGGCATCTTCTAGGGATTTCTAATAAAAGGAGGGAAATTTGACCTCAGCCTGCTCTAGACTTCCCAGCTGCCAGCAGGCAGAGAAATCCCTGCTCCAAGGAAGGGGTTCCAGGTGGTTAATCCAAGGCAAAGTCCTCAGGGCACTGGTGCCGTGGTAGTTACAGCCTGGTTTAATATCAAACTCTGTGGAATATGTAGAATATTGCTGAGCAGATTTTGCTGCTGCAGATGGAGCTGGGCACACGCTTCCCTTGGAGTATACAAGATGCCATCATTTCTGATTGGCTTCTTAGGAAAGCCAGCAAGGAACCAAATAAATCTGTTCTAGCAATAAGTGCAGTCAGATTACAGTAAGTCCAGGTAGAAGCCCAGCTGAGCTGACCTTGAAAGTATTCTTTTAAAAGCTTTTCACTGCTGCTCTTATTTATTCTGTCCTCGCTTTTATTTCTATTTTTTTTGTGGGTTAATTTCCCCTTTTATTATTCCAGCTGCTTTCCCCTAGAACTCTTTTGTTAAAATCATAAGATACAAATCTTAGGCTGAGGTGAGAGCAGATTCCAACAATTAAAAGTAATTTCCAGTAAATATCTGCAAAAGAACACTTGTCAAAAATGCCTTGGGAACATTGTTTCTCCTTATGCAGTAGGAATCCAAGACTGAACAATGAGAACCTTGATGGGTCTAGAGAGCACTGGATTTTTAAGGAATTAGTTTAAGGAAAGGCTTGAGTGCTGCAAAGAGTAAATGCCCTTGTACCTTGTGCAAGCTAAGTTTTGCTCTTGTGATTCCTACCTTGCAAAACACACTTTCTTCCACTGCTTTTCTCCCCCACGCAAACTTTGGCAAATTTTTTAAAACCTAAAAAGTCCTTTTTAAAAGGGACACTGGTGACAAATTTTGCTGTGCCAAAGGGGCTGGGCAGGGCTTTGTGCTCCCATAGAGATCCTTTTTGCCTCAGCTCATTTCCTTGCTCCCTGAGAACAATCCCTTCTCATTTTCTGCTGGAATGTTTAAGTCTTTCAGGCTTGAACCAGCTACACTTTCCCCTCCATTTCAAAACACAGTTAATAACTGTAGAGGGGTAAAACAACCAAACTTTGCATTAGGCTAACACCTTGTCACTCTTGTTGAATCCCGTAATTCAGTGTCCTCTGATGTTTTTAAATAAGAAAATTCAAGGAGGGAGATCCCAGTTTGTCAATGAAAAAGCCACTCTTACTCAGGAGGGCCAAGATTCACCCACAGATTTCAAATTAACTATGACTGGAGAGCAAAAATACAAGTAAGGAAAAATAAGAGACAGCCAAGCTGAGAGAGGACATGATTAAAAGCCACAGGAAACCATGTTTTGGGTTTTGAACCTTCCCCCTCATGTGCACAACCAGTTTTAGGATAAAACCAAGGCAAAATGCACCTGCCCATGTTGTAAAGCACTTCTGCAGCTAACTGCTGGCATTTCCCCCCAGAAAAATCCACTCCCATTGCCACTGGGAGTGTGTTTAGCAGGGCAAGGCTCACAGGCCAGGCTGCTGTCACCAGCCAGAGGGTTATAAAAACATTGCTCTGGGTTTAGAAAGGAATACTGAGAAGCAAACAGGCACTGGGAAGCTTTCAGATATCAAACTTGCACACTTGTGGTTATCTGGATGGTTCCACAAACCACCTGGGGTAGAGGTTGGTTATTAAAACAATAGATTAATGTATATATAATGATTTTAAGACAAGTGCATGCATAAGTCGGAAATACTGGCTCTCCTGTGTTTTCATAGGGCTTTAGTGCCTTGCCTGGCTGGATTTTTGTCTTTCCACCTGGATTTCCAGTGCTGTGGAGGCCCCTCAGCTGTGTCTGCCTCAGAGAACGTGCACTGAGCGTTTCCTCACCCTCACATCCCTGTAAGTACTTCAAAACCATCCCTTTAATGCTCAGCTCTCCATCACTACAATGTTTGTGATAGCAGTTGGCAGCTAAGAGATAAATGATGCTGATTCTTTTCCCTCCTGTTGGGAACACAGAAGATGCTTGGCCTTAGATCCCGTGCTTCTGAGTGAATACAAAGGGCAGCCTGGCCCCACTGAGCTGGCTCAGGAAGGTGATGCACAAGTGCAAGCAGGGCAAGAGCAGCATGCAGAACTTTGATGTTGATGCTGAACAGGTTTTGGGTTGAGGCAGATGTTTTGTTGGTACACAGATCCTCTGCTCTGGGGGGACCCTACCTGGAACACTGCATCCAGCTCTGGGCCCCTGGTACAGGGAGGAACTGTTAGAGCGAGTCCAGAGGAGCCACCAAGCTGATCAGAGGGATGGAGCAGCTCTGCTGTGAGGAAAGGCTGAGAGAATTTGGATTGTTCAGCCTAGAAAAGAGAAGCTTCAGGCTGACCTAACTGCAGCCTTCCTACCTGAAGGGAACTTAAAGGAAAGATGAGGCAAGACTATTTACAAGGGCATGTGACAGGACAAGAGAAAATGGGTTCAAACTGAGAGTTGGTTCAGATTGGATATTAGAAAGAAATACTTTCCTGTGAGGTTGGTGAGGCCCTGCTCAGGGAAGCTGTGGCTACCTTGGGAGTGTCCACGGCCAGGCTGGAGGGGCCTTGCAGCAACCTGGGCTAATGAAAGGTGTCCCTGCCCATGGCAGGGAGAGGAACGAGATGGTTTTGCGGTCCCCTTCCCACCCGAACCCTTCCCTGATGCTCTAGACCACATTCGCCGCTGCTCCACCCGCTCGCATCGCCGCTGCTCCCCGAGCTGGAGCGGTGAGGATACAGCGCCAGCGAGGCTTTGGGGAGCTCGGTGCCGCCTCCCCGAGGCCCTCCCGTGCCTGCCGGCTGTCCCCGCGGCTCTGTCCCC